GAATGCCACCGCTGCCAGATGTGGTTTTAAACACGGACAAACTGCTTGAGTGAGTGCGCGTTCTCAGTGAACGCTGGAAAAGTTATCTGGGATAGCGTAGCCAAAGGATCTAAGGCGCTGGATTTAGGCTCCAGTCTCTTTGTGGGTGTGGGTTCGAATCCCATCCGCTGCCAGGCAGTTCTTTTAGGATGCTTGAGAATGACCTCTCTGCTTGAGCAAACAGACTTGCAAAGTGATACTGCACGCTTCAGCTCACATCCTAATGTAGACTCCTTGGCCAAAGTTGAAGGGCTTCACTAGGAAGCTCTGCGTCTTCTCAGCTGTTCTGCTTCCGTAAAATTGGGCAAAAAAGGGACCACTGTATGGATACATCTAGGGTAGCGTGGCCGAGGGGTCTAAGACGCTGGATTTAGGCTCCAGTCTCTTCGGGGGCGTGGGTTCGAATCCCACTGCTGCCAGATGTGATTTTAAACTCGGACAAACTGCTTGAGTGCGTGCGTGTTCTCAGTGACCGCTGGAAATGAGAGAGTACATTTAAGTTGGCAACTATTCAGTATAATGTGTTCTTTAAAACTCATGGCAGACTCGTTGGTAAGACAGCAACACATCCCCAAGCTCGAATCTGCTCAGGAGCAAGTGTCTTTCCCACGATTAGATTGCAGCATCTTAACAAAGTCTGCACTGGAAGTCTCTCTCTGCCATTGCTCCTTTTAGCAAGAGCACCCTATTGAAACAGGAACAGTAAAGATTCACAATTAGAGTAGTAATACTCTATAACTGGATTTGAATATAATAACAACAATGTGGGGTCTGCTGTGATGGAATCAGTAACTCACTCTTTTGTGAAATAACAGTTACCTTGTAATCAGGTGCTTAAATGCATCGCAGCTGGCTGCCGTTTGGAGTAGACTTCAAATGCCTTGAGGTGTGCTCTAATAGAGACAGAACTGTGCTTGACAGGAAGGTGGGAGTGCTTCCTAAGCTGGTATTAAGCAGCTCTCTTTCTATGTTGAGGAGCTCCAGCAATGCATGGCCAAATTCAACTGATTTCCTAGCGTTGTTGCGCTACGTGAAACAAGTTGGTGCGAAAACTGCTCAGGGAAAGCAGCTTGGCAAGGTAGCGTGGCCGAGCGGTCTAAGGCGCTGGATTAAGGCTCCAGTATCTTCGGGGGCGTGGGTTCGAATCCCACCGCTGCCAGGCAGTCCTTTTAGGATGCTTGAGAATGACCTCTCTGCTTGAGCAAACATACTTGTAAAGTAATACTGCATGCTTTCACTCACATCCAAACGTAGACTCCTTGGCCAAAGTTTAAGGGCTTCACTAGGAAGCTCGGCGTCCTCTCTGCTTCCGTAAAATTGGGCAGAAAAGGGACCACTGCATGGAGTCATCTGGGATAGTGTAGCCAAGGGATCTAAGGCGCTAGATTTAGGCTCCAGTCTCTTTGTGGGTGTGGGTTCGAATCCCATCCGCTGCCAGGCAGTCCTTTTAGGATGCTGAAGAATGACCTCTCTGCTTGAGCAAACAGACTTGCAAAGTGATACTGCACGCTTCTGCTCGTAGTGGTCTAAGGCGCTGGATTTAGGCTCCTGTCTCTTCGGGGGTGTGGGTTCGAATTCCAACGCTGCCAGGCAGTCCTTTTAGGATGCTGAAGAATGACCTCTCTGCTTGAGCAAACAGACTTGCAAAGTGATACTGCACGCTTCAGCTCACATCCAAATGTAGACTCCTTGGCCAAAATTGAAGGGCTTCACTAGGAAGCTCTGCGTCTTCTCTGCTGCTCTGCTTCCGTAAAATTGGGCAGAAAAGGGACCACTGCATAGATATATCTAGGGTAGCGTGGCTGAAAGGTCTAAAGCGCTGAATTTCGGCTCCAGTCTCTTCGGGGGCGTGGGTTCGAATGCCACCGCTGCCAGATGTTGTTTTAAACACGGACAAACTGCTTGAGTGAGTGCGCGTTCTCAGTGAACGCTGGAAAAGTTATCTGGGATAGCGTAGCCAAGGGATCTAAGGCGCTGGATTTAGGCTCCAGTCTTTTTGTGGGTGTGGGTTCGAATCCCATCCGCTGCCAGGCAGTTCTTTTAGGATGCTTGAGAATGACCTCTCTGCTTGAGCAAACAGACTTGCAAAGTGATACTGCACGCTTCAGCTCACATCCAAATGTAGACTCCTTGGCCAAAGTTGAAGGGCTTCACTAGGAAGCTCTGCGTCTTCTCAGCTGTTCTGCTTCCATAAAATTGGGCAAAAAAGGGACCACTGTATGGATACATCTAGGGTAGCGTGGCCGAGGTGTCTAAGGCGCTGGATTTAGGCCCCAGTCTCTTCGGGGGCGTGGGTTCGATTGCCACCACTGCCAGATGTGGTTTTAAACACGGACAAACTGCTTGAGTGTGTGCGCGTTCTCAGTGAACGCTGGAAAAGTTATCTCGGATAGCGTAGCCAAGGGATCTAAGGCACTGGATTTAGGCTCCAGTCTCTTTGTGGGGGTGGGTTCGAATCCCATCCGCTGCCAGGCAGTCCTTTTAGGATGCTTGAGAATGACCTCTCTGCTTGAGCAAACAAACTTGCAAAGTGATACTGCACGCTTCAGCTCACATCCAAATGTAGACTCCTTGGCCAAAGTTTAAGGGCTTCACTAGGAAGCTCTGCGTCTTCTCAGCTGTTCTGCTTCCATAAAATTGGGCAAAAAAGGGACCACTGTATGGATACATCTAGGGTAGCGTGGCCGAGGTGTCTAAGGCGCTGGATTTAGGCCCCAGTCTCTTAGGGGGCGTGGGTTCGATTGCCACCACTGCCAGATGTGGTTTTAAACACGGACAAACTGCTTGAGTGTGTGCGCGTTCTCAGTGAACGCTGGAAAAGTTATCTCGGATAGCGTAGCCAAGGGATCTAAGGCACTGGATTTAGGCTCCAGTCTCTTTGTGGGTGTGGGTTCGAATCCCATCCGCTGCCAGGCAGTCCTTTTAGGATGCTTGACAATGACCTCTCTGCTTTAGCAAACATACTTGTAAAGTAATACTGCATGCTTTCACTCACATCCAAACGTAGACTCCTTGGCCAAAGTTGAAGGGCTTCACTAGGAAGCTCGGCGTCCTCTTTGCTTCCGTAAAAGTGGGCAGAAAAGGGACCACTGCATGGAGTCATCTGGGATAGCGTAGCCAAGGGATCTAAGGCGCTGGATTTAGGCTCCAGTCTCTTTGTGGGTGTGGGTTCGAATCCCATCTGCTGCCAGGCAGTTCTTTTAGGATGCTTGAGAATGACCTCTCTGCTTGAGCAAACAGACTTGCAAAGTGATACTGCACGCTTCAGCTCACATCCAAATGTAGACTCCTTGGCCAAAGTTTAAGGGGTTCACATTTAAGTTGGCAACTAGTTAGTATAATGTGTTCTTTGAAACTCACGGCAGACTCGTTGGTGTGACAGCAACACATCCCCAAGCTCGAATCTGCTCAGGAGCAAGTGTCTTTCCCACGATAAGATTGCAGCATCTTAAAGTCTGCACTGGAAGTCTCTCTCTGCCATTGCTCCTTTTAGCAAGAGCACCCTATTGAAACAGGAACAGTAAAGATTCACAATTAGAGTAGTAATACTCTATAACTGGATTTGAATATAATAACAACAGCAATGTGGGGTCTGCTGTGATGGAATCAGTAACTTTCACTCTTTTGTGAAATAACAGATACCTTGTAATCAGGTGCTTAAATGCATTGCAGCTGGCTGCCGTTTGGAGTAGACTTCAAATGCCTTGAGGTGTGCTCTAATAGAGACAGAACTGTGCTTGACAGGAAGGTGGGAGTGCTTCCTAAGCTAGTATTAAGCAGCTCTCTTTCTTTGTGGAGGAGCTCCAGCAATGCATGGCCAAATTCAACTGATTTCCCAGTGTTGTTGTGCTACTTGAAACAAGTTGGTGCGAAAACTGCTCAGGGAAAGCAGCTTGGCAAGGTAGTGTGGCCGAGTGGTCTAAGGCGCTGGATTAAGGCTCCAGTCTCTTCAGGGGCGTGGGTTCGAATTCCAACGCTGCCAGGCAGTCCTTTTAGGATGCTTGAGAATGACCTCTCTGCTTGAGCAAACAGACTTGCAAAGTGATACTGCACGCTTCTGCTCGTAGTGGTCTAAGGCGCTGGATTTAGGCTCCTGTCTCTTCGGGGGTGTGGGTTCGAATCCCACAGCTGCCAGAAGAGGTTTTAAACATGGCCAAACTGCTTGAGTGTGTGTGTGAGTCTCAGTGAATGCTGGAAATGAGAAAGTACATTTAAGTGGGCAACTAGTCAGTATAATGTGTTCTTTGAAACTCACGGCAGACTTGTTGGTGTGACAGCAACACATCCCCAAGCTCGAATCTGCTCAGGAGCAAGTGTCTTTCCCACGATTAGATTGCAGCATCTTAACAAAGTCTGCACTGGAAGTCTCTCTCTGCTATTGCTCCTTTTAGCAAGAGCACACTGTTGAAACAGGAACAGTAAAGATTCACAATTACAGTAGTAATACAGTGGGGAATAAACCAGAGTCAAGAGATGTGTTGATTATGTGAGTCAGTGTTGGTATGACTTTCTGACACAGAAATGAAAATAGCCTCACCATTTACTTTCCATTGTGTGGTTTTAAACCTTGATGAGTTTCTTGATTCTGTTGAAGACAAAATAAGATATTGTGATAAAAATGCTGGCTTACTTTGTGTTCCAGAAGACAGGAAATGTTTAAAACCACATGATGGAGAGTAAATAGTAAGCTCATTTTAATATTTAGGGTAAACATCAATTTCATGCTTGCCACTTTAGGCCTTCATACTAAAGTTCACTTTTCTGTTCTTTTTTGAAGACCTGATAGTGCTGAAAGAAGAGACACATCAATGGAATGAAATGGAAGAGAAACAACAAGAAATAACGACTGATGAAAAACCCACACTTACTAAAAAGACTTCATCTCACGGAAAACCTCGGAAATCCAAGTCTAGGTGTAATTTCAGCTGTAAACAGAGTAGAAAGAGTTTCAGTCAAAAGCCAAACCTTGACCACACTAGGGAGAAACCTAACACCTGCAAACAGTGTGGAAAAAGCTTCTATAATACAGGAAACTTAACAGTGCACATGACAATTCACACTGGAAAGAGGCCGTACGCATGCCAACACTGTGGAAAAAGCTTCTATTCTACAGGAAACTTGGCAGTGCACAGAATAATTCACACTGGGGAGAGGCCTTACTCTTGCCCTCACTGTGGAAAGAGTTATAAGCAAAATGGCAACCTTGAAGTCCACATGAGAACTCACACTGGAGAGAGAAGCTTTATTTGCACACAGTGTGGGAAAGGTTTTTCTCAAAAACAAAACCTTACCATCCACATGAGGATTCACACTGGAGAGAAACCTTACACATGCACAGAGTGTGGTAAAAGGTTCCCACATAAAGGCTCACTCAAACACCACATGATAAGTCACACCGGGGAGAAGCCGTTTGCATGTGCTCATTGTGGAAAGAGCTTCACAACCAAAGCTAGGCTCATGAATCACACGAATGGTCACACTGGAACCACATGTGATCATTGTGGAAAAAGTCTCACATGCAAAGACTCCATTAAGCAACACATGAAGACTCCCTTAGGAGAGCGTTTTCGATGTAGTGAGTGTGGAAAGGTCTTTAAACATAAAAGAAGCCTCATCAATCACATGAAGCTTCACAATGGAGAGAAAAAATGAGGCCTTGTCCAGCGGAGCTTAAGGCTCTCACCCGGGATAGCATGGGATAGCATCTCGGGACAAGTGTGAACTCTTGAATACATCTCAAGTTACTGGAATGAAACCCTTTGAACCTGAAGATTTAAACTCAATAACTGAAGAAGGGTGAAGATGTGCCAGGTTGTTAGAGTTTCTACAGGGCTGCAAGAAAGCAAAATAACTCTATATGTGTTTTTTTTTGCACACTGCAATCAAATGGTCTGCACTCAAACGAGAATTAGAAAGATTAGGGAGGAGAAAATGTTTGTGGAGATGCAGAGAAAACGGTCCTACACCCTTACATTGTGTTTTTGATTATTCACATTCTTTGATTGTCACTCCCTGGAACAAACACCGATTTGCCTCCAATTTTTGGCTTTTGTCTGCAGTGTCACAAAACTTGGTGGTGAATAAAAATCCACTTAAACTCGGCCGGTGTGAACTTGCAATGACAGTGAGAGACTAATGCAGACTCCATAAAACCCTGATCAGACTACACAATGCCATTTGCCATTTACAACAGATCAGATTTGTGTCAGATTATGAGATTTTGACTTGATCAAATCTTAATGTGTTGTGGGTAACAAATGAAGACTTTGGTTTCAAAACACTACACATTTATTTTGATGGACTGATTTTAGAAAATAAAAAAGTTTTCCTCATGAAGACAATTAAACTTTCTGTAAACAACTGGTTTCCTTTGAAGAAATGTTCATGTGAAAACTCTACAAATAAATCTGTGTATGGGAAACCCAGTATCTCTATTGTGAATGAGAATATGAGTGATTTGTTAGCTTAAATGCTAATTCCAGTACTCAACAGAGACTACTGAAGCACTTCAGCTATCCGTTCTTTCAAATTATATATATATATATATATATTATATATATATTAGCGCTGTCAAAATTAACGCGTTAACGCATGCGATTAATTTTAAATAATTAACGCGTTAAAAAAAAATTACGCAATTAACGCAGTTCAGGTTTTTTTACTTCCTGTTGTGGTGGACGTGTTCAACATGCAATAAATGTGGATAAGACCAAGGAAGCACTTTTTGAAGGCAAGTTCCAGTATAAAACAATTAGTTGCATCACCAGGCTCTCCAGAGTTTCATGCAGTTTCGGGTGTTTCATTTTTAACTTTCGACATCTGTTGTAAGTTGATACCGCATAGCGAACAGAAAGAAAATCCTCCGCATTTCGTGACTCGGTGTTCCTTTAAGGTAAGGTTCCTTTTAAGGCTACATGGTAGAATTTTAATGAGAGTATAATCTTAATCATATTAAAATCGGAGTATTGGTGTCTTATGTAAATGTACTCAGAACGTCTGGTGAAGTCGCGAGCTGTCAAAGACATTACTCAACCTTTCAGCATGCGCCCTCCAAGTTTAGCGTGTTTCCTCATTAAACGCAACGAAAGCGTATGCTTCGCGTTGTTGTGTCAGAATCCTTGTGAAATACAGTAATACTTTAGGACGCTTAGTTTAAGCAAATTTGATGAACGTGATCATGCGTGTTGAATCTGAGGGGAGTCGCTCCAGTATGGAAGGGCATTGGGGCCAAAACGTCTGCAGCGCGTTGTGTGTGTCTGTCTGTGTGTGTGTCTGTGTCAGGCCTGTTGAGGGGTGTCAGGGGTGGAGTGAGCGATGTATCTGAGTAGGGGCGAGAGGGGTGTGCAATGTATTTAACGACTGGTTTGCAAGAAATGATCATTCATTTGCGGGCATTTGGGAGTCTCTGTGCACTTGCGGGATATTCCTAGCAACTGGATGAATGTAAAGGAGGATTAAGCAAAATTGTTTCTACTGTATAATTAATGTTCTCAACTCACAGCAATAAAACTTTACAATGAGCGCAACAGTTTGTATTCTATAGTTTATTATTATAATTTTTAATTTTTCATATCTGCAATTCCTGTATTTTGGCATTTCTTTTTGCAGTCCACTTAGAATCCAACATGGAAATCAATGTTTTCTTTATTGGCATTGATTGTTTTGAAATTTAAATGTCATTAACATGCCTGTGTTTTAATTTCTGTAATAAATAGGGCTGTCAAGCCAGGATCTTGATGGTTTATTGTGGGTATGTTGTTTACATGAAGAAATCTGTGTTACAAGTTAAACAAAAATTCTATTTAACAATAATATTTTGAGTTTAAATATTTTTTGTCTTGCGTTTACATTAATTTGACATTTAAATAGCCAAAATTACAAGTTTCAGTATTTTAAATGTGATTAATCGCGATTAATTTTTTAAAAAAAAGGTGCGATTAAATTAGTTAGTTTTTTTTAATCGATTGACAGCACTAATATATATATATATATATATATATATATATATATATATATATATATATATATATATATATATATATATATTAAGGGTGGAGCCGAACCCGAATACGGTATTCGGAAAGGCACGAATAGCGTGTTTTTACGAATACTTATTTCGAACAAATACTTGAAAAATTATTTGTATTCGGGAGCAAGAAAAACACTATATCAAAAAGCAGCGTTTCCTCATGAGACCACAGTGCATGCCCGCGTGAGTGAGAGAGAGAGAGAAAGAGAGAGAGAGAGAGAGCGAGAGAGCGAGCGAGCGAGAGAGACGCTCAGTCGGAGGGCGGGGCGGAGGTGTCTGGCACAATCTTCTCCACAGATACAGACAGAGAAGGCTCGGCTGAGCGAAAAAAAATCTTATCTGCATCACTATTTTTGTTAAATAGATTTTTGTACCTTAATTGGGTTCCAGATGCAGTTTATAAACTTGTAGCGGAATTTGATCGGGATCGGGAAGTTTGCAACCGGGTGCTCTGTTTACGCAACGTTAGCTCTGTTAGCGCGGTAATTTAGACAATAGACTGTTGACAGAGTAACGTTAACGTTCAATTATAAAGGTTAAAATGATGCTTTTGCAGTTGTGTCGAATAGTATGCACTTATGGGAGTTATATGGTACGTCTACATTACTGTCTTTTGCAGACAGCAAGATATATGCTATAGGCTAGTTAACCTTAGCATAGCTTCCCGTCACTTTTTATTAACTTGAAACTCCTCAAATACATTTGGGCACCCGAATAGAAAAAGAGTGAGACTGCTTCTGAGCCATTTCTTGGTCCTCCACCAGTCAAAAAAAAAAAAAAAAAACATGTTCTTTGTGGAAGAATTTTACAGTCAGTGGTGCTGCAGATAAAACAAACTGATACTGTAACGTTATAATGTGTGCAAAAGTGAAATCGGCAGAGATATTAAACATCTGTCAACATCTCCTATGCATAATCATTCATTTCTTTTCGGCTAAGTTCCTTTATCAATCTGGGGTTGCCACAGTGGAATGAACCACCAATTTATCCAGCAAATGTTTTAAGCAGTGGCTGCCCTTCCAGCTGCTACCCAGCACTGAGAAACATCCATACACTCTCTTTCACACACACACACACACACACACACACACACAATAGGGACAATTTAGCTTACCCAATTCACCTGTATTGCATGTGTTTGGACTGTGGGGGAAACCGGAGCACCCGTAGGAAACCCACGCCAACATGGGGAGAACCCAGTCATGGCTCGAACCAGCAACCTTCTTGCTGTGAGGCGACAGTAATACTCACTGTGCCACTGCGCAACCTTCTATGTAATGTATTATCACATGCACTAAAAGCATCCTCTCCTGATACTGTCTGTGAACCCCCCACAAGCATCAATCCCCTCAATCAGCACAGCTATGTTCTGCTAAATCCTCCACAAGCACCAAACCATCAACACAGCCACATTCTGCCCCAGCAAGTCAGTTTCAAACATAAAAAACTAAAAAAACAAACTTTGTGTCTGTTTTGTGGCAGGCAGATGACAATAGCAGTGCTGTATCTTTTAGTAATATATAGAATACTTTTGTTCTGCCAGATCTCCCAGGCAGGGGTTTATTTAGATTTATTTAGTTAATATTAGTTTTTGGAATTCTGTCCATTGGAATGAAGTTCTTTCAGAAGAAGAACAGTTTTTTGAAGTATTATTTGTTTTTATTCTGTCTATTCAGTGTCCTTCAACAAGAACGGTGGTGGTGGGGTTCATAATATTCACAATGGTATTTTATTAGTTGTTGGTTTAATCATGGATGAGATAATGGCTTCTGTGTTATTTTCTTTTCAATGACATTTCTTGTCACATGTTCAAAAACAACAACCAATATTGCATGTCTATAATTTATATAATGGGTATAATTAAACAATACTTTCACTATAATGTAAATTAGAAGTGTAATAGAAAAAATATATATTTTTGCGCCATTTTGAATTTTACTCGAATACAAATACAAATACAAATACTTTTCCCCCTCAACAAATACAAATACAAATACCGGCTGCTCCGCACATCCCTAATATATATATATATATATATATATATATATATATATATATATATATATATATATATATACACATATATATATATATATATATATATATATATATATATATATATATATATATATATGTGTGTGTGTGTGTGTGTGTGTGACTACTATTACTAACAGCAATGTTAAGTGTGCAATATAAAACTGAAAAGGATACTTTTTTAAACTAGTATGGGTCTATAAATCTCATTGTCACCCTTTAAAAGGTTTAAAAACCAACATTTATAAATTTATATATTTATGATTGAAGAATTTTTTGCAAAGCATAAACGGTTATTAACTACTTAATGCTGTGTACAATTTTCTTTAGTCACATTAAATTTAACTTGTTTATTGCTAAAAGGGTTTACATGGATATTGACATGAGACATGAGTATATGCAATTATAGAAAACATGCTCAGTGTTTTCAATATGACTTTCATAACATTGACAAGATCTCCTGCTTATCAACTTTTAATCTCAGAAATTCTTTTGATGGACACACATCATTAATCATTTAAAGTGAAGTTCTCTAATTTTGGGGAGAATTGAATAAGAAATGTAACTTGTCTTATTTTTCTAATTCCTGTGAATTAAAATCTTTAAAAATAAATGAGGTCTGAGCTGATTAGGATGAAGCCTTTGAATAAGAATATTCCTTTAAAACTTATTACATTTTGGAAAATAATTTCTAAAAAATAAAGATGGAAGAGAAAACATTACAGAATAGTGTGAAAGAAAACCTCTGATTAATACTGTGATGTTTTTAGGGATAATATTAATTATTGTTTTAAACTCTTTAGGGTGACAAGCAAAACCCTGTTTAAAGAATGGGTTGAATAATTTTAATTTAGCAAAAAGATTGTCATTTCAAGTAAAAAAAAATCAAATGTGATTATAATCTATTTTAACAAGTTTCCATTTAATTTTGATGAGATGAACAGCACCAAAGCCACTTCTTCCACCTGCTCCATCAATAGAATATCCACCTGTTACCTCAGATGCCACTGAGCTTTTACTATAGTTCCCACTTTGATTTTGGCCACAACCAGCACCAGCAGTACCACCAGCTCCTCCGGCAACATGTACAGAGATGCTGAAGCACTGGAAGCCACTGGACAATGTACCATGTGCCCCCTCAAACTACTTACAGTTATCTTTTTTTTTTTTTTTTTTTTTAGCTCTGCACAGTTGCCAGACAATCAGAATCGCTCCCCAGCAAACATCAGAAACAGGTGGGTTCAGCAAAGGTTTCCACTCATGTAAAAAAAAAAAAAATGTTGTACAACAAATAGTTGTAAAAACTATAATATACAGCCCCTTTAAAAGTTTGGAATATTTTATAATAAGCTTATTGTGCTCACTACAACGTTATTGCATTTTTACATCACTGTTCTTTTATTAAATGTTCTATAAATTTTTATTTATTCACGTTTAAGCCTGAATTGTACGCATGATAAGTCTTCAGTGTCATGATTATGGAGGCCCAAGAGTACGGTGGCCGGGAAGTGCAAAACAACATTACAAAGTTTGAAACACTTTTACAAAGCTCGAGACAAATTTACATTTTGAAAAACATGTTTACCTGTCATCAGACACAATTACATAGGGAAAACAATTTTACCAAGGACGAAACAAATTTACATTTGAGAAAACAAATAAACAAGACGCAAAACACTTTTACAAATCCCGAAACAAATTTACAATTACATTCCCTACGGAAAGGACGTAGAATGAACCAAACACCGGTAGTGACGCGGGGGAAAGTTGTTGTTGTTGCTGGTGAGCGCGGTAAATTCGCGCTGTGGAGTACATGGCGTAAACAAAGTTTATGGTGACTGAACATGGACAGCGGTCGAGGGTTGTTTTGCCCGTTTTGTGGCAAACACATGAGCAGCTTGACACGGTTTTGCTTTGCAAGTGGTCGGTGTTTAGAGTTTATAAAGGACGCGGAACAGACGGAAACACCAGACATGCTGCATCAGTGTTTTCAATATTTTTACGAGATCCACACGTACGCTGTAATCGTGAACATGATGTCAAGTCTACACGGCATAAACATCTGCTTGAGGACTCTTAACAGTAAACTGAGGGAAGCCTGTGTTATGGTTTAACTGGCGTCCATGTTAACTGAGGCCCCCTCTAAGATTTTCACAGCACTTTTTCACTTTTTCACCCAAGTCAAAAGGCTCTGCATGAGTAACAACCAATTTATCCAACTGAGCTACTCCAGTGTACAAGTTGAACTCGGTTTTGGTATATTAGCAGTCAACATGTGCCGTGCTTGAATTGTTTCCATGTACTTGCATTTACATGTTTCTATGCACTCTTACGCTGATATTTTCTCAGAATAGCTCTAATGTTTTATCGCAGTTAGTCAAACCATAATTTTTATAGTTGTAGACTTGTGGAAACCTGTCTACAAAGTCACACACGAGCTGGATATTATTGGTATTTTCCAGTGTGTGTGTGTTACATATCCAATTCACCTGTACCGCATGTCTTTGGACTGTGGGGTAAACCGGAGCACCCAGAGGAAACCCACGCGAATGCAGGGAGAACATGCAAACTCCACACAGAAACGCCAACTGAACCGAGGCTCGAACCAGCGACCTTCTTGCTGTGAGGGGACAGCACAACCTACTGCGCCACTGCTTCGCCCAGCATAAAAATGTACATAAATAAATCACAATTTAAATGGACAAATAAATAGATATGTTTGAATTGTGTTTTTAAATGTCATTTAATTAAGCAATAAAACAATGCATCACAAATACATTTTAAATGTATAAATAAATTGACACTTTTATTACTGTATTATTATTTAATCCATGTTTTAAAGGCTGATTAATCAAACAGTAAAAAATGTTATTAATAAATCACAAAACACATTTTAAACAGCTTTTTAAATAAGCATTTGGCAAATGCTTTTCTCCCTATTTGCTGCTTGGTTTTCTTTTTCTTCTGCCACATGCTTTTCTCAAGTTGAAAATTAATCGAGTTAAAAAATGGCTCTGCTGTAATGAGCTATTGTTTTCCTCTGTTAGGAAAAAAAGACAGTTAACAGTTTTATCTAGATTAAATGACCTTGGTGATAAAGATTTTCTTGGAGATATAGAACAAAATGAACTTCGTATTTTGCCATCAGAGTTGGATTACTATTATACAGAGAAAGCTAAAGGAGCTTTACGATCTAGAGTGAAATGGATAAAGGAGGGGGAGAAAAATTCTTCATATTTTTTTTTAATTCAGTAAAGCAAAGGCAAGCTTCAAAAACTATTAATAAACGTAGCATAAGAGATTGATTGTGACTTTTTCTTTTCCTTTTTAAAAGATAAAGTTCCTATTATAGATGACAGCTTCCGTAAAATGATGGAATCTAAAATTGTTATCTCTGAACTTGATGTTGCTATTTCTGAAATGTTCCCCAGGTATAGACGAAATTACAGTTGAGTTTTATAAACATTTTTGGCCAGAGATGAGATTTTTAGTTTTTGAAGCAATTAAGGAATGTATAGAGAAAGCAGAACTATCAAGTTCTATGAAGCAGAATTTAATCATTAGTTCCAACGCCAAGCAAAGACAAATTATTTTTAGACAATTGGAGACCCATAACTCTTTTGTCCAATGATTTTAAATTGCTCTCTCATGTATTTGCTAATAGACTCAAAAAAAAGTATAGGCGAGATAATAAATGAAACACAATCAGCTTTCATTAAAGGGAGAAGTATTCAGACTGATAGTTGATATGCTCGATTATAGGTATTTAATTCCTCAGACAAGTTTATTTCTATTTCTAGACTTTTTCAAGGCATTTGATACCCTTGAGCATCCTTTTTTGTCTTTAGAAAGTCTTTAGAAACTTTTGGGTTTGGTCCGAGCTTTTGTAGGGTAATTTCCCTGTTCTATACTGATATATTCAGTAGTAAATCCCTGAATTCAGGATCATGTCCTAGAGTTTACATTAAAAGAGGAATTCATCATGGATGTCCCATCTCACCTTTACTGTTTAATATAGCTGTTGAACTTTTTAGTTTAAGTCAGTTTGCTGATGTCACTCTATTAATTCTTAAAAATAGGGAGGTGCTCCCTTTAGCTCTTGTCAAAGTTTCTGTTTCCTAAAGTTTCTGAATTCACCTTAAACCTAAGAAAATGTGGAATATTAACTATTCAGAATTGTACTTTAAGAGAATTAGAGAGTATTCAAATAAAAGAACAAGTTAAATACTTGGGAGTTACCATCACCAAAAATTCTGTTAATAGAGAATGTGCAAATGTTAATATTAAAATGGAAGGGATGGAAAAATCCCTAAATCATTGGCTAGCTAGAGACCTTTCCATATAGGGTAAAATTCTTTTGACTGGGATTATTTAAAATTATATATTTAACTTATCCTTTACATACTTCCCCCAAAATAGTTAAATCTTTAAATTCAATATTATTTAAATTTATTTGGAAAAATAAATCACATTATTTACGTAAGAATCATATGGTCAAAGAGTGTGAATATGGAGGTTTGAAAGCAATCGATTTTAAATGTCTTCTTGGCACTTTTAGAGTTAAATGGTTGAAACAGTGTTTAAGCCTTATTCAATGTGGTATCATTTCCCAAATAATTTGTTTAAAAAAATGGTGGCCTTGAATTTGTATTAAGATGTGATTATGATTGTTCAAAACTTACTTTGAAGCTATCTAATTTTCATTAGCAAGAACTACTTTTTTGGAAAGTGATATTTACCCATAATTTTCCCCTCATAAATCCACTCTTTGGAATAGAAGGGCTGTTATTATTAACAGAAAATCATTGTTTAAAAGTGACAGCTACAATAAAGGCATTATATTTATTAATGATTTGTTAGACAAAAATGGACTGCTAATATCTCATAACAGATTATTAAATAAATATAGAGTTAAAATCACAGATAAAGGTTATAATTTGCGTGGCTATACCTATTGCTTTGTTTAGGTTCATTCAAAGTAATTATTTTGATCCCCTTGTACACTTGTAACTTCTCTTCCGTCTTTAAAAATATCAAATGTTGATACTTTTGATAGTAAATATAACAACAAGCTTATTTACAACATGCCTTATAATGGGTGAGTATAAGTGTTATCATCTAGGAGTTGTTAAACCCTTAGTAGAGAACAAAGCTTTTACCTTTTATCCTAAATATCCAGTAGCACCTGAGGTTACCTGGGGTAAATTACATAATTTTATTCCGGATGTACCATGTGAATGAGTTTATTCAAAAAAGATTTAACTTTGATGTTGACAAGTGTAGCTTCTGCTCCAGAAACACTCGATCACTTATTTTTTTCTTGTGAATTTACTTTTAAATTCTGGTTTGACATCCATCCTTGGCTTTCACTAAAGATTATTTCAGTCCCCCCTATCGTTCTAGAAGATTTTTTATTTTACAAATGGGATTTACATTTTTCTTTCTCTGATGTTGTGAACTTTATTTTACTATTGGGTAAATATCATATTCATTGCTGTGAGTGGAAAAAGTGCAGACCCTCTTTTAGATGTTTTTTTTCTGAGGTAGAGAAAGTGGCTCAAAGCTTCAAATACTTCAGAAATCAAAGAAAAAAATAGCTGAAGCTCTCTTTACTTAATTTTTAAAACATTTATTTTCATAATGTTTTGTTTGTCCTTTGATGTAGATCTTTTGTGCAGCTCCTTGCTCCTTGTTGCAGTGGTAACAATTTAGATTGATTTTATTTATTTTAATGGTAAATATGCCTTGCGATGTTGATTGTCCCCTGTTTTGTGATGTAAACTTTTTGCAACAAAAAAAAAAAACACTTATGCTTAGTGGATTAAACAAGTTTTTCAAAATTGTGTAAAAATGTTTGGATTAAAAGTTTTGATCAACTTCACATACTGAATGTCTGTGCATTTGAGAGAGAGAGAGAGCAGATATGTCGTGTGAGATGTGAAAAGGAGTGTGAAATTTATCATGTCCTGACTGCAACAGTAAGTGGCAAAAAAAAAAAAAGCTGAACAAAAAAGACTTTTATTTTGGCGTGTTGTGTGACGTCATAAGGCTGCGCCGCTTCCGCGCTGTGGTTCAACCGGAGGAAGGTTTGTTTCACAACTTTACACAAATATAAACCGATTGATTAAAGTTTCAGGTTTTTCTTTCGATATTATATACCTGCGGTTGACTATTATTTTAATCCTTTATACAACAAAGTACTATTTTAATAACAGTAATCGAGGGCTATTGTTTGAACAACAGAAATGTGTGTTTTAATGAAGGTTTTATTTATTTACTAGCATAATGTCATTCCAATACAAGTATACATTATATATATATATATATATATATATATATATATATATATATATATATATATATATATATATATATATATATATATATATAAGAAATGGAGGACTAGTTTTTATCAGATCATTTGTTTGTGGCTATTGTTTCTTGCTCAGACTTACCTGATTTATTTTTGTCAATCACTCTCATATAAAGAAACTGTTGAAGCAAGTGTTGAAGAGAAGTTATTTTGTTTCTGTTCATTGTCATTCTGTTCTGTTCATTTTAAACAGAATAAAGTGTCCAAACACAGAGAAAAACTCCTGCTGAAGTGACTGATCTCCACACTGTTATAAAGATGGCATTTATTAAAGAGGAGAGTGAAGATGTGAAGATTGAAGAAACATTCACAGTCAAACAGGAAGATCTGCAGGAACAAACAGGTTATATTTTATATATTTTAATAATAAGAGTACTAAATTAAATCCATGTTGCAGCCCTGAGTGTGCTGCCTAGTTCTCCTAAATGCACATAAGCACTTATTGAAAGACAAGAATGAGTTTCTTTTGTTACTTGTTCTCTTGTCTTTAGTCATTATTTTATGTATTATTAGTCTCCCATTTTCTGTACCTTCTTAAGGTTGTTGCTTTTCTTGTTCTCCTACTTTGTGTAAAGCGCCCTTGAGCACTGGCGCTATAAAAACAATACATTTAAAAAAAGTTTAACTGAGCTGATGACATTTGACCTACAGTGTTCTCATAGAAGATATCTGCTATTACAGTGATAGTGTTGGCTTGGTACTTTCCATTTGCATATGTCAGGTTGATCACAATTCCCTTTTTTTCATCAACTTCTTTATGGGTTTAAACTTTCTAGTAGTTGTTACTAGTTCTCAGAGATAGTATCAGAGTTAGAATTAAACCTTTATTATAATAACTAATTATCAGGGCTATTGTGTTTAAACAGGGTTTTCGCTGAGTCTTAAAATGTCTTAAATTCTCAAATGTTTTAAAAAATCAAAAATTTGGCCCTAAAAAGTCTTAAATTTGCTGAAATGTTTTGTTGTAGGTCTTAAATCTTTTTTAAACAAGTCTTCATTTTCCTGTGTTCATGTTTTGTTACCCAATTTGGTCAAAACCCACACAATCACCAACAATCCATCTCAATAAAACTTTCAACTTTTATTTAAAAGGTCATTTTTACTCTATTTATCATAATGGTAAAGACTGTTGAGGATATCCACCTGGACAGATTGTTTTGAATGGATTTAGTTTATTAAAGTTTTTAAAAATTTTTTTTAAAAATTTGTTAATTATTTTTTTTATTTTAAAGAAAGTTTATTTTGGAAAAAAGTGTGTGGATCCAAGTCGAACTCTCTTGTTTTTACACAATATTTAAGATCTTTTGCTAAGAAATATCTAAAATATTTTAATATTGTTATCATTGATCTATTATTGTATTATTAATTATTTTATATAAAAAATATTTTTTGATATGACAAATAAAAAACCTTTTCTTCTGGGCCATTTGAAAAATTCCTTAGTCTAAAATTTTATTCATAATGGTCTTAAAAATGTCTTAAAAAGTCTTAAATTTAACTTGGTGACACCTGTAGAAACCCTGATTTAAAGTATGTCAGAAAACGTGGATGACTCTAATTTAAATATGCTAAATGAAATGGACTCTAAAATAATAAATTATTATAAAACATTGTACAGTATTCGAAACTATATGATGATGTGGGAATATGTGAGACAAAACAAATTATAGTGGAACAATAACGTTTAGCATTGCACTGACTACAACTGGCCAACAAACTAGTCTAAAAAAGACTTCTGCTGCTTAAGAAATGGATTACAGCATGCTGATATAATGCAGAGATTTGAGTGTAAAGTTCATCAGTATTGACCATATTCTTCACGTACCAGCAGGCGCCACCATTGGAATCTTTTTGCTTTTTAAAGAATACATTTTTAGATCCTTAAAACAGTGTAATGCTGCTTGTCTTTGATCTTGTGGGGGAAACCGGAGCACCCAGAGAAAACCCACGCAAGCTCAGGGAGAACATGCAAACTCCACACAGAAATGCCAACTGACCCAGCCGAGGCTCGAACCAGCAACCTTCTTGCTGTGAGGCGACAGCACCACCTACTTTGCCTCCTTGTTGCCCGACAACACTGATTTATTTGCATATTTTTTATGCGATATTCCAGTTTTGCAAATAAATTTAATTGGCATTTTTGGATGGAAACATAGCTGTAAGGTTTGGAGCTTACACTGCTATTCTGAACCAATAATCAGAAACAGAAAGCAGTTGAAGGATGGCGTGTTTAAATCCATTATTTATCTGACTCCATCAAAGTTGTTATTATCATTGATAAAGAGAAAGAATCTCAAACTTAAAGCAGGTAAAGTTGATTATTAAGTTACATGTTTGAATATACAGACAGTAGAATGAAACAAACTAGCATACAGTATAAAGAAATTAGCTGTACGTGCACTGCTGAGCAACAATAACAGTGAAACTGTCTTTGTTAGCATATGAGGCTACGCAGCCGTGTGCAGGAGATGCAGAGTAAAAGCCATTCTCCCAGATCAACACTTACCTTTACGTATTATACCCTGAGCAAAGCATTGTTAAAGATGAGTGAAAATCAACCCCCAAAACGAACTGAACATGAGAGAGCACAGTTGAGGAGATAAAGTGGGTGAGAAGAACATTAACATACTCTCCTCAGGCCATGACTCAACAATAGTAAATATATTGTATATTGAAATACAAGCAATCAATGTCTCTGTTGATTTTAGCACTACAATGCTTAAGTCATAAACTGTCAAATGACACCAAACATGATAAAGCTATTTGAAGGAAGATCACAAGCAGAAGAATTGTGTATGGTGAAAAGCACATGGTTACTGCAAGCAA